TACATGGCTGTTGTGAAACTGCGTTACATACCAGGAGATATGATATGTGATGTCTCAACTTAGGTCACAAAAGAAGAATATTGTTGTTTAATGATTCCTACATTAGGCTTATTTGAAGTGACCTCATTGAGCTATGGCCTCTTTCCACATGATGAATTTGGCAGCAATATGATGTACAGAGGCCTGCGCTCTCTCCTTGTGAATTTGGCCCCTAGACCAGCCTGGATTGTTCCCTGTTGACATGGATTGCTTATGGGGTCCTCTCCCCCAGCCCGTCTGTCATTTTGACTCTTGTCCCCAATGAGTCCCACTTCCGACTTTGTTCGGTTCACTGCCTCGGATCTGATCATTTTCCATCTGGCTGTTTGTATGGACGAGGCGCCGCCCCCCCCCCCCCCCTCGCGCGAGCTTCCAGTGCGGCCGGCGGCCGGCGAGCCAGGCGCCGGGCGGCCGTCACCGGTCGGCCCTGAACTGCGGCGGCGAGCGGTGCCGGCACGGGCGGCGGCGGCGGCCGCCGCGGCGGCCGCGGCGGCGGTGGCGGCGGTCCGGCCCGGCGGCCTAACTAACTCTTCGCCAGCGAGACGGGCAAGGCCAGAACCGACGCCGGCTGACCGAGAGCGACGGAGCCGACGCCGGTCGCGCTGGTGAGGGGACGGTCGTCCATTGGTGAGACCCATGAGACAGCCCGCCTCCACCGTGCTGCTCATCACTCCTGACATTCCGTTCGTAACTGCCGACAGCGGGGTGGGGGTGGGGGATATGGATGACCGTCTTTGTCTGCCCAGACCCTCGGCTGTCGCTGCATTGTTGTCCATTGGCCGCGTGACTGCAGACCGGCGCGCTGGGAGAGCGGGCAGACTGTGCCGAGCCGTCAGGTCATGGCTAGCGGCCCGGCTGGACGGCGGCCCATCCCTGGTCCGTCTCTCGTCTGTCCCTGGTCCGTCCATGATCCGCTCATGTCCTGGCACGCCGGCCACCGGGCCGGGAGCAGCCCAGTCCGGCGCAGCCTGCACCAGGCGCGAGGCTCGCTCTGCTCCCAACTCCGGAGATGCGGCAGCGGATGCACCGGCTGAAGCCGACAGAGCGTGTCCTGGCTGGCGGGAAGCGGGATCAGTGGACGAGGCTGATAACGGGTAGTTTCTCCGGCTGTTCGGGTTTGGTGATCGCGATGTGATGCACGTGACGTAACGCCAAGCCGGTGACTCCAAGTGGTGACTCCGAGTGTGTCAGGCGAAAACAACGCGCATGCTGCATCCGACGTATGAGGAAAATCAGCTTGGATCTCGCTTCAGGTTATCGTCAACCCGACACAAATATCAGTTGTTAGGCCGACTGGAATGGTATAAAAAAGGAGTCAACGAGGCGGAAAAATTCAGCCAGCGGGAATGTTGGCCCGACGGGTGTAACAGTTACGGTTGCCTTTATACATACCAGTCAGTTTAACTAGAGATACTCGTTTCGATAAAGGTGTGTAGCCGAAATATCAGTACATCTATCTCTCCATAGTTCTGTTTTTTTTCTATGAGAAATGAAGTAATTCATACTGCCCTACCTATATGCATAATGTTCCTCGTAAATGCACTTAACAATTTATGTGCTTCGGTGACATTTTCACCTGAGATGTTACTTTAAAGCCTTCAATTTTTTGGCAACGTCGTTAGATGGCGTCGTGGCAATGGTGTTAGGTTAGCTCAGACCCTGGTCACAGCGACTTCATTCCAAGGCGACTTTGACAGTCGATGCAAAATTATTATTCAAGTTAATGATAACTTAAAACGAGATCCAAGCTGGTTTTCCTCATACGTTGGACACAAGTAAGTGCGTTATTTTCGGTCGCTAACTGCTATCAACACTTCCACGGGTGACCGATGATGATGGTCATCTGGGTCATAGTGTGCCCCGACTGCTTGCTCAAATGGTGTTCGTACGAGAAATTGATCAAGCCATTTACTCCAAAGCAGCTACCCCAGGGAAATACCGATATACACTTACTCTGGAGCAAATGACCTTTGGTTTCACCTATTTCACGGCTACTGACATTCGTTTCGAGAGCGGAATGTGCCGAAATATCAATAATACCTAAGGTGTTCAGTGCATTTGCAAGAAACATTGTTAACATAGGTAAGGCAGTGGTAATAGCCCTTTTCCTTGGATAAAAACCAAGAGAATGGACATATAGATAGGCTGATGTTCTGGAAACATGGTTTTATTAAAACAATAGTAGAAGGCTCAGTGCATTTTCGGGGAATGAAGTTTAGTTATAATTTATATCATAACTATACAATGCAAACCTCTGATTCTTCTGCGAGGAGTAACACCATCAATACTGCCTAATTTCCAATGCACTTACAACCTGGCTATTATGCCATACCATACTCCGCGCAGTTTCAAAGCGCAACTGGTCTTATACGATATGATGCTGTTTTAGAGGCCGTTAGTGGGTCTGCGAGGCCTCAGTTGTCAAATCATTCGAAAAGTGAATAAATTAAACAAGTGACGATAAGTATGTCGAGGCTTCGACCGGTTCAGCCAGTTTTCGTGACCGTACTGCTGACACAATAGACACCGCATGTCGCGTCGGAGGGTTTGCCGCCTGCCAGCTCCATCCTCTTCCCCCCCCCCCCATGTTTGCGGGCGGTATGCCCAAATTGCAGCGAACGGGGCGGTACAGGCGTCCACCTGGTATTGATCTTCTTCTGTTGCCAATAGTCACTCCCCTCACCGCGTGTAACAAACCAATGTACGGCCGGCGACCGCGTACAAAAAAGTTCAACCTGCTACAGGAATACCAATTCAGATCACAGCACCGCGCTTTCTTTGTTTTGTCGATCGTGTCTGACAGTGCATGGCAGAACGGGCGCTCACCCCCGCACTAAACGACCCGTAAATCGATGACTGCCCCAGCGGCCGCCACCTGCGGTGGCGTGGTCAGACGGCTAACACTGCGCCGGGCCGGCTCTTCGGGCGCTCCGGGGCCGACCACGGGGCTGACCGACCGCCGCCCGTACGGTACAGGGGTGAGCGGTCGGCCGCCGGGTCAGACCAGCGTGGGGACGAGCCGCGCGGCGGGCCATGGCCCCGGAACTGGCGCGCACCGCCGCCGGGACGCGGCCGGCGCCGCGGCGGCGCCCGGCCGACAACCGTTGCCACGGCATGGAGGATCGCCAGAGCATGCCGCCCATTCACGGCTCATTGTTTGACGGAACGGGAGCAGCGTGCGTCACCCGGAGCGGAGCCGGCCAGCTGCATGACCAGGGGCCGGCGGCGGGGGGGGGGGGGGCAAAATTACCCCGCACCAGCAGGGCCACCCTGCCCATGTTCACAAGTGCAAGACTGCATTCATCCAAACGGCAATCAATTCAGATACCCGTGCGCCTAACAGCGCGCACGATACTTCATCACCTCGAGAAACGGGCTATCAACAGCGAAGGGCAAAAACGCGCGCAGCCGACGACAAAGACGAAGCCGGCAATGTCGGCGGGCTGAACGCGCGGGGCAGCGCCCGTGCCTTTGTCCCTGCCCTGACAGCGTTCGCGTGGCTGGAAGGGGCCGCGGGTGGGCGGCGGGGACGCGCGCCGGGCTGCCGGCTCGCGATCGGCTTCAATGCGCGCCGGAAGCGCGGCCGCCCTTGGCCCATCACACGCGGAGGAGAGACAGAGGCCAGCTGACGGCCGTTTCGCGCCAGCCCCGGCCGAGGCGCCGCCAACAGTGGAGCTAGCAGGGCGCTGTGCGCCGCCTTATACGGGGAGGCCGTTGATTGTTTGTCGCCTGCGCGGCCAATCACCTGCCGTCAGATCGGCCACCTGCTCCCTCCCCTGCGCGCGCGTGCGTGTGTGTGCTTGTGTATTTGTGTGTGGTGGGTGTGGTGGGTGGTGGGGAGGGCTTTGAGGCGACTGCTCGCAGCGTTTGGTCATGTCAGAGGAGACTGCCAGCGCCGTCTCTGTTCGGCCGAGGCCCGGGCCGCCCGTGAAAAGGTTGCCACAGACTTCCGGCCTCGCGCCGCTCAGTCGGCCGCCACGGCATTGACCTGGACACGGCCTGCACATTGCACAATGGGCGGCAGACGCGCGAGCTCGGCTGACCGAGTCGTGCGTGGGTTGACCCGTGTGGTGGGGCAGAGCAGGGGAGCCAGGTCGGCGACCAGAGCAGAGGAGCCAGATCAGCGGACAGAGCAGAGGAGCCAGGTCAGTGGCCAGAGCAGAGGAGCCAGGTCAGTGGCCAGAACAGAGGAGACAGGCTAGCGACCAGAGAAGAGGAGCCAGGTCAGTGGACAGGGCAGAGGAGCCAGGTCAGCGGCCAGAGCAGAGGAGCCAGGTCAGCGGCCAGAGCAGAGGAGCCAGGCTAGCGACCAGAGCAGAGGAGCCAGGTCAGCGGACAGAGCAGATGTCTTGCCATCCGCGCGCGTGGTACCCGAGATGATGCCGCGTGGCGGCGCGCACGCCCACATGAGTCACGTCACGGGCTTCCCCTGATATGGACTGTTATCCAGTCCATGTATCGCGCCCTGGATATGCAGTCAGAGTCGGATGTGGACCTATTTGCTTTGAAAGTGACGAGCCTACACGCAACGCGCACACAACTCAGAGTGAGCACGTGCGGGGCTTCGGTAATGTTCGACAGCTACGCTTTGTAAATGGATTTCACTCATGTGCTTTTTCATTCTAGAGAACACATTTCGCAGGTGCACGCATACAGGAACTGCGCTCCAGCGGTTGGCTAATTGGCTGTCTCTAACTGGTAAGGGGTCATCCATAGTTTACGAAACGGTGGAGGGGAGGGCTCGTGACAGGTGCTAAGCCAGTAGCTAGGGTTACCTAAAGTTAAAATAGCTACATGGAATATATAAATCATGGAAAAATGCGTTAGGTAATGTATGGATGCTCCTTCGCACCGGGCTAGCCAGTCCGGGCGCATGCCCGAACAAGCTGGGCAGGGGCGGCCTGCCTCCCGCAGGTGGGCGGTGGCAGGGGCGGACGGCTGCAGGCAGCCGGGTCTCTGACCTGTCGCTGGCGTGGAACCGCAGCTGCACGTGCCGGCGGGGGTCGGCCTGACGGCGGACGCGCCGATGCTCCTGCTGCAGAGCCACGGCGTCATACCGCAACGGCTCGTAGTGGCGGACAAAGTCGTTTAAAATGGTGCCTGCAAAAGCGGTGTGTCATCAGCACGTTTTCCAGAACTTCGCGAGCAGAGGCCGTCCGCGGATCACAGGCGAACATCAGGGGCTTAAGTCTAAGCGTTTTCCTCAAGCAAAGGCATGCCACGAGCAACGCGCGGCGGCCAGCCTTGTTTGGAGGGCGGGTGGGGCACGATAAGACGCGGAGAAGGGCAATCCCACGCAATCAGGACCCTTAAAGCTACGTTGCCAATGCCTGAGGCTGTCATGCTGCTGGAAGAAAGTCCAACTGAAAGGAGCACTGCTTCATTGTTCACGTACACGCATGAAGACACGCATAGACGACTACACGCCGCTAAGTATACGTTGCAGCACACAAACAGCCTTTAAGTATGGTCGCCACGTGATCCGAACTATGAGCGGGAGGGCCACGGACGCCGCCGAGCGGAGTCGCTATTGTGCAACTCGGCCTGTGTTGTTCGGCTCAAGGTGTATGTGGCCGCATAACTCCGCTCCATGGCGCGGGACATGACGGCAGCTGACGCATGCTGACAGGCGCGGGCCGAGCGCACGCGTGTGCGGCCTGACCTGGCCTGGAGCAGGCTGCCCGGCGGGGAGCGGGGCGCCGCCCGCCGCAGCGGCGGCGCTCTCCACCCTCGCCCCATTCGGTCCGGCTCCTCGGGCCATGCCGTGAGCCGGCAGCTCACTAACACCGATAATACAAAGACTCGGCCCGGGCACGCCCGGCCGCAGCCTGCCGAGCAGATGCAGCGATGCGGCTTTGTGTTGCGCTGTCTGACTCATGGTCCGGTCCGGCTCGGCCGTCCGGTTCTGGCATGGGCCGAGGGATGGCTCGGCTGTCGGCGATGCCGGCGGAAGAACAGCCGGGCAGCCGCGACCGAGGCGCGGCGAGCCGGCCGGGGACCCCACGAAAGCCGTCCTCGCATAGCCGTCCTCTCGGACCCGTTCTCACACGGTGTCCTCTCAGCGCCGGGCCCCTCCGATCGCCCGGACGTCCCCTGAGACGTGCCAGCCGGCCGTTCCTCCCAGCCGGCGCGGGGCGGAGGCGCCGGGCCTTGGAGAGTCGGCCGGCGGGTGGCTCGGCGCAGGGCCGATCGTCGGCCAGGTGGTCGGCCGGCGGGTCATCGTCCCGGCTCTTACCTCGCACGACGGCGGCGGCGGCGCACAGCAGCAGCAGGCTCCAGCGCGGCAGCATGTCCGAGCACGAGTGACGCGCGCCGCGGCCGCGGCCAGCATCGCAGTGCTGCCCACGCAGGCGCACACGCGCTCCCGCTCGCCCTCACTGGCCGGCCGCTGCGCGTGGCGCTCCTTCGCGGCCGCCGGCTCACCCGTCTTTGTGGCCCCGCCGCCGCGCCGCCGCCGCCGCCGCCGCCGCCGCCGAGGTCAGCTGACGCCGGAGAACGGGCCGTGACGTCACGGCGACGGCATGACGTCACGTCGCAGGTGGGCGGCTGGATGCGGTCGGCACGCACTGACCGCGCCGAAATTGAAAGTGTCCGGCGTGCTGTCGCATTACGGCTCAGCCGGGTTGAGTTGGCCGTCCCTTGATGCATTTAGAGGCGCGTCGATCGTAAGGCCATTTTGCCCCCTATTTTTGGGAAGGGTCTTATTGTATTTTGTTCCGTTTTATCGAAAGGTTGCCACGGTATTGTCGTTTTATTATTCCTTGATGTGTCCAATGCTGAGGTAGTTGCGTTTAAGGAGGAGATTGAGTCATCAGAAACGTTCAACGTTCGTATGATTTTGTTTAAAACGAAAAGTGGTATTCCGGAGAACAGCACCACAGCCTTACAAAATGCAAAACAGTATACAAATGGCAACTTCTGCACTTTTTGTTTCGACTCAGCTGTGGTATGCAGGACGTCATGGCCAAACACATTGCCGCCATACTGTTGGATGACATTAGTGCAAGAAATCATCGTGACTGCAGTGCAAGATGCGACCCCCTGGCAACAAAAACCTGCATCGATGTAGACAGAGCATTGACGGGCATTGTCCTGACGTTTAAAATGTGATTACAGTTGGTCACTGGGCTGTTTGTTCGCGGCTTTTTGAGCTTTTGAAAACCTGGCTTTATCACATCTTTTACTCAGCCAGTAGTCGGCTAGACCGAGAAAAGTTTCCAGGATTGGGGACCGAGGCTTAGTTTGAGTCGTTTCTTTCCATGTACCATCGTAAGCTTGACGCCAAATTATTCCAAATGTCTGTGGCTCAAACCCTCACGCCGCTATATATATATATATATATATATATATATATATATATATATATATATATATATATATATATATATATATATATATATATGCATACATATATAGGGCATATACATACATATATACATATTTAATTTGCGTTCAGCCTACATCATATTTACGCTACCTTAAACATGCATCCGATCGACTTAATCACCAGCCATCTTGCTCTAGCCACACTAGAGAAAGTGTTTTATGTGGGTAAATGGCAGCATCTGATTATACGATCTACGGCGAACGGAAATCTTTAGAGGCAAACGCAAGGCTGCTCTAGTACAAACGGCTCAGTTTTGTCTTTTTATATGGCTTCAGTTCTTCTATCTGATTGCTTGGTCCCCTCAACATATGTTCATAGGGTTTGAGATGGCTCTGTCATAGGTGTTTGGCGTAGTCCAGCAAGTCACGTGAAAATTAGGCATGTATATAATGTCTGGGTTACCAACTTTCACAAATTTACCGCTATTACGGTATTTGGTTGACGATTCGGCACCCTGTGTCATCAAGTAGGCGGTGACAAAAGGCGAACTTTGTTCGCCCACGTAACCAAAATATTGAAAAAGGCTGTCACCCTCCATTACTGAGTGTTGTTTTTGGAGAGCCACGAAATATATGGCGTTATTTTTTAATGTACTGGCTTTTTCCTTGGTTAATAAAAAACAACTTGCAGGGATAGCTGTTTGAGACTATCACCTCATCCATTCTGTCAGCAATTTTTGCCTGCAACCCTGATACCCTGGGGAACTTTTGCGCGTCGTCATGTGCATGGACATAGTCACTCCGTAGACCGGTGGGGACCCTTTCGCTTTCGGTCAAATGGCGTCTACCAGGCCGAACAATCAGCTGCCTCAGGAATCCAACTCGAGGTGCCTGCCACATGCTAGAATGGGGAGAGTCTAAATATGAGGGTATGATTAATATATATATATATATATATATATATATATATATATATATATATATATCACAATGATTGCCCGCCATATTGCAAGCTTGCGACCACTGAGAGCCACGGCTCCGAAACGTAAGGGGTGTCGTTAGTTGTGTTACCACGCCAATGCTGAAAGAAGAGCATTAATCGATTAATTTAACATCAAACATGAAATAGCAGCCAGAGCATTCTGTGCATATATATATATATATATATATATATATATATATATATATATATATATATATATATATACATACATATATATATATATATATGTATATATATATTAACGTATAACAATGTGATATATACATACATTACTACATATTGGTATATATGTTTATATATGCACCGATATATTTCACTAAAAAGACCGCTGACTCAGCAAAAACGAGCTTTTTCACTGTTCGAATTACCGGGCTATTGACTTATTTGTCGTTTAGATCAAAGATAGTTGGTGCAAATCACTGACACGTTCGTTAATCTGCACATTCTTACGTTTCGAGATCTTGTCGCATCGTCAGAGAAATTAAGATGGCACAAGAAATAGGCCTTGGGTTTTTTAGGACAAAAATTGTGAATTACTATCTGGAAAACATCTCTCGTGTATGTAGTGTGTGGAACGAAGTTTGCAACTTTGTTCAAACCTCGTTCCATATTGCATTTGAATGGATTCACTACATTGACACATTTTAGTTTGTTGGCTTGTCTGGGCTGTTTTTCATAAGAAAGTTAGAGATTTTCCTTTTGCAATAATAGATGGCCATGTCTATTTTGTGGTTGTCCTTGCCATTTACATGTCGAGAGATGATTTCCCGCAGAGCTTTCTTATCTTGTTTGTTGGCGGATATTACACCTGACAAACTAAACTAGCAGCAACAGGGGCATCAATTGAAATGCAATATCTAAGGCTGCAAACTTCGTTCCATACACTACATTGGCGTAACCACAACGACACTCTCACGACGCCTGACAAAGCACTTACTGACGGGGCACCTCTGGAACACATGCGACACGAACATGACAGGGCATTGACACAATAATAAGTGACGGACAACACTGGCATTCCTCGGACGTGCAATGACAGAGGACGAAATCTCAGCCCCAAACAGGCAAATAAATTATTGCACAACCCTTGAGTTAGGTGATGGGCGGTTGGCACTAAAGATGTGATTGCGGCAATGCCGTCGTGTCTTTGTAGTGTTTTGATTACGTATGCATTTTATATGCATCAAAAACCAAGGATTTTGTCCGATTTCAATTGGTTCGTGCCATTTAGACTTTTCTGCAGTTGGTGGAGGTGGGCCTCGTCTCTGACACCAACAAATATGCCACTGACATATCTGCTGTTTAAGCTTAATGTTTTTGAGGACACGGTTCTCCATCCAGCACATGCACATATTTGCAAACAGGTACCCGAGTGGTGACCCCATTGCGACACCATCTACATGGTGACAGAATTTTCCGCTTGGACAACGGAACGCTGCCTCTGTTGCGCAGCATCGGTGCATTTTTCTGCAGGCCACCATACAGTGGCAATCGTCATTACGATTCACAGCTGACCTGAGGTCGACAGACATTTACCTTTTCTTGACATCGACGTGGACGCGAGCAGCGAATCTTTCGTCACAAAAGTGCATCGTAGGCCCACTGATGCTGGAAAACGTATGAACCGGCTAGCGAATGCCCAGAGCGTTACCGCACGGCTGTCATTCGTTCGTTTGAACGACGTGCCCTAAAATATTGCTCCAGCTGGTCCACCACGCACCACGAACTTGAACGGTGTAAGCAAGTACTTGTTAATGACGGTTATTCGAGCAGAGCCATTGATGAGGAGATTGAGTCCACCTTGGATCGACGAAATCGGTAACCACTCGACAAGAAACCGCCCCATCAACTTTTTATCGAAATCAAATGCCCCCGTCATATAAAGTGGATGAAAAAGTCTTGCGGAACATAATCAAGACAAATACCACACCGACTGACGAAAACACTGAAATAAGACTTACCATCTATTACAAGATCGGAGCAACTAGCAGCCCTATAATGAAAAACAACCTTACATCGGACCAAAATCAACTAACGCGCACTAATATAGTGTATGAATTTAAATGCCCTTACGGAGACCGCCGGCTGCGCAATTCTACCTTCATTGGTATGACCATAAGATCCCTGTCACGACGCATGACTATGCACTTGCAGGAGGGAGGGCCAGACTAACATGTGCGCAAAACCCACAACAAAAAACTCCTACGTTCTGACCTGACTGAAAACACACTGATTCTAAGATTACGTCCGAACAAACGCTGTCCACAAGTTCTTGAAGCCATCCTGGTCAGGGAAAAAAGGTCGGACTTAAACAACTTAAGTCATGCATTATTTTGGACCTGTTCAGTCACCCATTGACAGCAGGGTGATTCGGTGCATTTACCTTTGTATGCTGTTAAGCTGGCTGGAAAAGTACTATGCGTCTATTTGTATGTGTTTTGTAATTTGTGTAGGTATTTGCGTGTCAAATCTGTTACCTGATGGCTCACCAATAATTATGTCTCGTGGAGCATGCCCCACATTTTACTATATTCCAATGTTTCCCGTCCGACCGTCGCACATTGTTTTGAGAATGGAGAATGCATGCCATTGAAACAAACCAGTTAGCTAGCTTGAATAAATGTAAATAACCATAGGCTAGTTGAATTCTGACTTATTGAAAACAACGGAAAATTTAATTTGGGCAATCGAATAAACTCAGAAGGAACTGACTAAATGTACATTTGCTGTTGCGTATAACAAAATATATATTGTATATATATATATATATATATATATATATATATATATATATATATACATGTAAGTACTTAAACCTGCAGGGCAAGAATAGTAGTTGCTATCATTTATGTAATCGTCAACCTTTCGATACATTGTGTATCACCATCAGGACAAGGGTAGCGAGGTAAAATGAAATGTAGTTACATTTAACCGACGTCGTTAAACATGGCAATGGTCACAGTTAAGGCGGTTAAATACGAGCAGGGACTAAAAAAGTGAAACATGAAGCAGACAAGCTCGTTCTCCAAGGCAACTCGTCCGATAGTCTTGAACCCCCCCCCCCCCCCTTAA